TGGTCCTGACACAGTCCATACAGACAGCTCATTAAGTCAATACTTCAGCTCAAAATACTTCTTTAGCATTATCTTTACAGGAAGATACAGTTAAAGAATAAAAACAGAATTAAATGCATTGGAACAAGTTGTAACTCTAATAGGAGATGAGGTACAAAGTGTGAAGACACGTTTTCCTTTACATTGTTATGCCCATTTTTAACGGATATGTGTTGCTCCTAAAACTTACACTGAATCTCAATATGAATGGAATAAAGTGAAAAATCAGATCGAAGAAATATGGTCTGATGATTTTAGTCTTGATGCAGATGAACTGCATCAAGGAATACGACATTCATTTAGATATACATGAACCTGCTCATTTAACTAAAAATCTGTTTAATACATTACAATTTCTGGGCAGTGTCTGTGGCTCAGTGAGTAGGGCACCAACCCCATATACTGAGGGTGGTGGGTTCGAACCCAGCCCTGGCCAAACTGCAACAAAAAACAGCCGGGCGTTGTGGCAGGTGCCTCAGCTACTAGGGAGGCTGAGGCAGGAGAATCGCTTATGCCCAAGAGTTTGAGGTTGCTGCGAGCTGTGATGCCATGGCACTCTACCGAGGGCAACAGAGTGAGACTCTGTCTCAAAAAAATAAATAAATAAAAATAAATAAAAACTTCTATTCAAGAGTTAAAGCTTAGAAATAGAAAAGGAGATGTAGAGTGTAAGCTGTGAGGTGGCAGGGCCCCTGGGGCTTGGGACAATGTCCAGGGGTGAACCCCCCCTGTACTGACCCTCCTCAGCAGATAACAATACATCTTCTCTTAAGCTTCAGCCTTTTTTTTATTTTTTGGAGAGAGGTTCACTTTTTCACCCTTGGTAGAGTGCCTTGGCATTACAGCTCACAGAAACCTCCAACTCCTGGGCTTAGGCAATTCTCTGGCCTCAGCCTCCCAAGTAGCTGGGATGGAAGGTACCTGCCACAACGCCCAGCTAGTTTTTTGTTGCAGTTTGGCTGGGGGCTAGGTTCGAACCTGCCACCCTTGGTATATG